CGTAGAATAGAAATATATATTTCTATTATTTACTTGTTTACAAAGCAATATTTCGCTAGCAACCCCGTAGAATAGAAATATACATTCCTATTATTTACTTGTTTATAAAGCAACATTTCGCTTGCAGTCCCGTAGAATAGAAATATACATTTCTATTACTTATTGATAACGAAATTAACATTTCGTTAGTAGCAATAGAAATAGAGGAACTTAGATTCGAGTAATAAAACCTTTATCTACGTCATACGGTCTACCATAGCAAACTTTCGACTGCTCCTATCAAATAAATTTATTGTAGGACTGGACCTCGAATCTGGGAGCAACACCTCGGACAGAAAGGTTCGTTACAGTATACAATATATATATTTTTGCTCCAGAAGTGCATTTTTGAATTATTACATATGTATTGTATTATACAAAAAGAAATAAGCTTACTTGCGTCGTTGCTACGATCAATGTAGCATGTGTCGGTTGTAGCTGTTGATAACTTAAGGTTGTGGGACACCAATCTTTTTTTTTCTGTCTGCTATAGCGTTGCACATTTACTATGGGTTCAATGGAATCATACTGTATGTGTCAAGGGATACTGACAATGGCTCAATAATTCCTTCACAACAAATGCACCGATTCCCAATTGTGGCACTGGAGTATGGCAGAAACTAGATATACCCACTATCTAAAGAAAGAGTTCATCGCTTACACCCGAAACATATTGGTTTTACAAGTTGCAATGTGAATAGTTGCGACTCAGACATTTTTGCAACACTACCATAATCTTGTGCATTCGATTCGTATACAACTTCAGTAGTACCAAAATACTCTCTCACAATTAGACAAACGGAATTCAAAAAAGGAGAACAAAATTTTAAAATCGCATGTAATGTTTGTTGATATTTCACAATCGTCAATCATTTCATTGTCCGATTCACCAGCAACATTATCAGGTGGCAAACATTATTATTCAATAGGTAGCGGAATGCCACTTGGTACTAATGAGTCATCTTCGCTCCAATTGTCAATAATATTCAATAATTCCCGATTTCTTAGATATTTTAGGCATGAAATTATAATTTATTTACAGTAAAAAATTTACGAATGAACTTTTAGCATGAATAAATGTAAACCCTGTATAAAACAATCAAATTCAGACTAACTCACGCAGCAATCAAATTTCAAAATAGACTTATTACTAATATGCATAGTAAAAAACACAAGTTTAAGTTAATTAGAAGAGTTTGATATTTATTAGACAGATTAGTCTTATTTTATTTCAGTACCTAACGACTAAAATTCAGATTGTATTATTTTATCATTATAGCACTATGGGACCTAACGTGTGGTTCACCATACGCCTTTTTTTACCGGTGTCTGGTGGGATGTAACTGTTACTAAGGAGCCGGCAAAAATTACGAAAATTATATTTTGACTTTTGTGAACACATTTTATAACAAATAAATTAGTTATTAAGTTATTAAATTAATTTGTTTTTTTTTTAATTTTCATTTTATTTCGAACCAGGTAAACTCATAGACAGATGAAAACTGTTCGAAATATGTATTTTTATATTATTAAGATAAGCTAAGTAACAAAAATAAAAGACATTGATGGTTAATCATTTTCTGATAACGACGGGTTTGCCATGAATCAATGGTCAGGTCGAAAGGATGAACGCAGTGATCTGCAACATTTTGGAAAAACTTAGTTAAGATGAGCCAACAAAGTAAGTGGTACATGCATATCGATTCCGTACAGCACCTTATAAATTTAACGTAGTCCAAAAGTACGCATTGGGTGCTTTAATAGTGGATGTCAAGATGCACACAAAGGAAGATCTATATATTAAAGAAAAATCGAAGATGAATTATCAAAAAATTTGACAACCAACGTGATGAATTACGCCAAAAAGCGAAAGAAGGTACACATCAAATTCAAGCCGAAAACAAGAAGTCTTACGATCGAAGACGTAAACCAATGCGAAAGTACAAAGTTGGAGACTAAGTAGCCAAAAAGACGACTCACTTAGGCGGAGGTGTAAAACTCAGACCTAAGAATCTGGGGCCCTACTAGGTAAGTTGTATTGTACCAAAAAAAGGTTGCGTCATTAAGATGTGCACGGGCGAAGGTCTAGTAATAACGATGTTTAGCGTAGGTACCTGCCATTAAAACTGAAGACCACTGTGCTCTACAAACACATGTATCACGATACTGTGCCAATGAACGTCCCATTACAAATTCTAATGGATCTTTGCCGGCATCAATAACGTTATGTGTTGTGGGCATAATTTCACCTGTTGATTAGAACAGCCCAAGCTGTGGGCACCTTAACCCCATTTAAAATGAGATTAATCTCATTATATTTCAGTACCTAACGCTAAAATTCAGATTGAGCTACAAAGAGGCACCAGAAAAACCAACACAAGGTTAACTATTTAATTAAAGAAAATACGATAATTTATTTGTGCAATTTACGAAACGAAAAATAAGAACCAGTGTGTTCACGATTATTCTTAAATTTATTTTAATATTAATGAAATATCAATCAATAAAGCAGGATACCACAATAATTAGAATTTTAACAACAAAAGTCAACACACAGCATACACCACAGTATCTCGAACCAAAAACGCGCCAAGCTGTTATCACTTTTTAATCCGTTAGGTCAATTGTGTGTTTTCTTTGCATTATTCGAAAATTCGAACTCCGAACAAATTAGAGATCCCAGATGTGTATTCAAGTGCAGTAATTATTTATGTAGCTATTTAAGTTTTTCATACGATTCACATTGCTTGAATGTTCCGCTACATCACTTTCCTGCCAGTGATTAACTTATGTACAATGTCACGATTCGTTGAAGGTGACATATTTTCTCGGAATGCGTGTAAATCTTCCGCTCCGTCGTTAGTATTGGCATTTAATGAAATTATACCAGGGGGTTGTGTGTCTGTTGCATTCAATTTCAGTTTGTTGCTTGATATAAATGCTGCTTTTATGCGATCGATATTTACGCGTACTGGTTTCCCTTTTATTAATAGATCGTACGTTTTATCAGTCGGACTTGTAACCTTATATGGTCCATCATATGATGTTTTCAAAGGTGGTCGTAGCGCATCATCGCGCAAGAAAATATGAGTACGCTTCTCGAACTCGCGTTGTAGGAAAACTATATTTTGTGAATGTAGTGATATTGGCGTTGCACAAATTCTAATTTCCTCAAAAAAAAATTAGAATTTAATTTCTTTAATTTCCTAAAAAAAAAATCACATGACAGCTTTAAGACGCTATTGTATACAATTTCTGTGATTGTGGCGTCCAAATCTTCCTTGTGAGTGTACTTTAGGGCAAGGATGACAAGTGGTGTACTTTAGAGTTAGTCGTTTTTACACTTTAAGGCTGTTTTTAACGTGTGATGGAAGCGTTCAATCATGTCATTGCTTTGTGGATGAGGAGGACTTGATCGCAAATATCTTACGCCTAAAGTACGTGGCAGCTCATTGAAAAGTTGGGATTCAAATTGACGGCCTTGGTCAGTGATGATTTGCGATGGCACACCGAAGTGTGTTATCCAGCCATTAATTAGTGAAGTAGCAACTGTTGAAGCATAGATGTCTTCGATTGGAATTGCTGCCGGTCATCTACTAAATCGATCGATACAGGTTAAGCAGTATGTATATCCATTTATGGTACGTAGTGGTCCAATTAGGTCGATATGGATTGGTGCAAATTGCTGTTTTGTTGTGCCTGATGACTTTTGCACGTTTGCACGGAATGCATGTTCGTACCATTCGGGCGATGTCCTGCTTCATATTTGACCACACGTACCGCTTACTAATGAGTTTGATAGTGGCATTTTTGCCTTGATGCGAGAGGTAATGCACGGCATTGAAAATGTGTTGTCGAAATGATTAGGGGATGAATGGACCTACATTCTTTGTTGACATATTACAGGCAATGGATTCTTGTGCCTGAGATAGGTACGAGTTTGAGTTTCAGAGCAGCATTGCTGTTGGTCAAGAAATCGTTAGTCTCGTTGTCCGCTTTTTGACTTTGAGCCAATAATTCAAAATTTATTTATTCTTCTTTGCTGATCTTTTCGATACGAGATAGAAGGTCTACGACTATGTTATCCTTTCCTGAGATGTGACGCTTGTTAGCGACGTCAATCAATAAGTTAAAATTTTTGAGAAAGTAGGCACCCAGTATTGGCTTTGATATATCTTCGATGATGAAATACCAGGCGAAACTTTTCCTCAGCCTCCAGTTCAGTGGTAGAAGTTTACAAACGTATGTTTTAATGTGAGACCCATTTGCTGCAAAGAATATATTTCTTGTGGGCTTGGGTTTAGAATTAGGAATTACTGCAATTGGCAAAACCGAGAAATCTGCGCACGTATCCACTAGAAACTTGAGTTGAGTCTTCTTGTCTACAATGAACAGACGGCTTGACTTGAAACAACCACCTTCATCTACCGTCTCTGACAAAGCTGTATCCAGCTTTCCAATGCGTTGTATTTACAAGGTTTGGCACATTTGATTGCTTTAGCACCAAACCTGAAATGATAAAAACAGATGTGTTGCTTACTTACCAGATTTGTGGAATGCATGCGAACGTGTTGGACTGGATCACGATCTGGAGTTCGGAGTCGAGTTCTTCTGGTTGTATGCTGTCGCTGCATTACTTTTGTTATATCTTTGCCTAACTGCAAGACGACGTTTTTTAGAGATTGGATTTCTTTTATCAATGGTGACTGCGCTGATTGAGAAATTTTTAAGCCCTCTACTGCGGCTATGGAACCATAACTCCACATCTCCATCACTTTATCAGCTTGAAGTGTACATTTGTCAAAGTCACCATCAGCGATGGACACGACGGCTCGCACAGCAACGGGCAATCGATCTAGCCAAAATTGTTTCAATACGCCAACGTTCATGGCTCCTGCTGCAAAGTCGCGCATCGTGCGAAGTAACTGTGACGGCTTGTTGTCGTGAAGCTCAATTCCAGTATGAGTCTGCGTAGCCTCTTGTTCTCAGAATCGGCAAAATCTTGGATAAGACGGTTCTTTATTGCATCATACTTGTCTTGTGCTGGAGGTGATCCTATAATGTCCGCAACATTTCGTAGTTTAGAACCATCTAATGAGCCAATCACGTAGTCGTATTTAGTCTGGTCTTGGTTGATATGTGCGTTGCGAAAATGTGCCTCCATCTGCAAAAAGTATAAGTCTGGGTCCCGTTCGCTAAATACTGGCGGTTTAACACCAATGCGACAAATTTCTGCCGGTGCTGTACCTTGCTGTATGGTCGTGCCTCTCCATCACTCGTCATGTTTCAACTTGTCAAAGGTTCAAGTTCGGGGTAACCAAATGTTGTGTTTACGACTATTCTTAACTTTATTTAAATATTAATGAAATATCAATTTAAAGCAGGATATAACAAAAATTAGAATTTTAACAAAAGGGAACACACAGTATCTCGAACCAAAAATGCGCCAACTTTTTACTGTTATCACTTTTTAATCCGTCAGACCAATTGTATGTTTGCTTTGCATTATTCGAAAATTCGAACTCCGAACAAATTAGAGATGCCGGATGTGCAATTAAGTAAGCTTTTCATACGCTTCACATTGCTTGAATGTTTCTCTACAGACCTTTAAAATAGTAAATAGAAATTGAACAAAATAAATAAGTGAATAATAACAGACTTGACTGAAGCACATTTGCAAGTCAAAGTGTCCGAAAAAATTTTTAATCGTGAATACTCATGTTGGCTTTAATAGGTACACCAGAATGGTGTATACGTTAAAAACGATACCACAAATTTTGTCAAAAATTATAAGGGATTAAATCAAGTGCATTCAGATTTAAATGATCATCTAATCAGGGAAACAAACATAAAATAATGAAAAGAAAATCTAAAAGCAAATTTAGATAGACTATTAGAGGCAAATCTGAAAACTGATTATGAAAAATGCAAATTTTTTAAAAAGGAATTATCGTATGTAACGAAAAAAATTTAAAGAATTGAAAGCACACAAAATCGTTGTCGTTTCAGGCGTAAGTGACGGACTGCGATTTTTCTGTTAGTTTCGGCTCAGATGACTAGAAGACTCTTCTTCTCATTCAAGAATGACAGAAGTGCTAGGAACAAAATTTAATAAGTTGGCTGAATAAACCAAGTTTGGTTAAATTAACCAGTAGGCTGAATAAGCCTGCGTATTTCCACATTTCAAAATAAAACTACAAGTCCCCGAATCTATTAAATGCTCGTTCTTTCATATCGAATAGACCGGAGGTTTTTGGTGTAGCGTACCGGCATATTTACCGTTGATCTCTCTTGTTACATGTGGTGTTCTGTTCCATGGGCTAACGGTATTGAGGGAATTTCATTTCCATTATGTAAGAGAACAGCCTTTAACCTGACCTTAGAAGAATCAATGAACAAACGCCAATCATCATCGTTGTATTCAAAATTAAGAGTATCCATAACAGATAGAACATCATTGCAAAAAATAAGGTTGTTTTCTTGAGAAAAGAATAATTTAAATTCGTCATGGCGAGATCGATACATAGAAATTTTAGTTTTTGGATCCAACAATTTCCAACCCTTTAATCGTGATCCTAAGATTTCACTCTTCTTTTTGCACAACTTTAAATCGCGCACTAGATCGTTTAAATCGTCTTGCGTTATAAGATGAGGTCCATCAGATTTATTAATTCGTAATATTATTATTTATACATATTTATTAACCACGTTATTTATATACATATATTTACATCACGAAAATAATGTATACTATATATATCATATATAAATGAAATACCCAATCGCTTAACCCAATCTTTCATACACTTTTCAAAGGCCCGTGAAGGTATGGCTTTTAGTTCCTTCAGCGAATTCTATTTTACCGATTCATTCGACTCAAAACGCTTACCACGAAGGGGCAATTTAAGTTTCGGGAACAGGAAAAAGTCGCACGGATCCAGATCTGGCGAATATGGTGCCTGAGCGATGAGAGTGGTGCCGTGTTTAGTCAAAAAATCGCGTACAACAAGAATTTTCCATAGTAAAAATCGCTAAATGCACTTGAGGTAGTCTCACATTAACAGCTGCTGTAAACAAACTAATTGTCAGATGGCGCTGAAATTTGTATCATATGTCAAGAAAGGGTGTACCAACATAACAACAAAAAAAATTTTTGAAAAAGGTCTATTACTTAAAAAGTAGTTAACAAACAACAAAATCCGGATACTTTTTGAGCAGTAGGTAAATTACGACTTTATAGCAAAAATATACATTCAACTGTTTTGTTTTGAATCAGAACGAAAAACACGTCTAGGATCTCTTAACAACGTCTCTAGGATAAAATCTTTGTTGACCAGTGTAATTGATCTAAATCTTTGTTCGTAAATTTTTCTTCTAATATTTCTTGATATTTCATCTTATGCTTCTCAATTATACTTGCTAGAATAGAAGTTTTTTCTGCAATCTCTTTTCTATTACTAATTGTTTACTTGTCGTGTTTGTTATATATTCTTTCCCGTAAAGAATGTTTACATTTTTTTAATTTGAAATAAAATAATATACCAGATTTTAATAATACCAGATTTACCAGATTTAATATAATTTACTAATATTAGACAAAGAGAAATCTTGGAAAAAACGGTACACTCTCGAGAGTTTACAAACTAAAGAGAAAATCAACTTGACGATGAACATAAAAGAAGATAAGGAGAATATAAGCTCAAATTATATTGCCGTTCTATATTAAACAAATCGAAAGTGCGGGTAACTTGGAGAAGTAGCCAAAATATTTATAGAAACATTCTTTAATTTTTAATTTATATATGAAATTGTTAAATAAACAGTGATTAACTTAGACTATCGTAAACTCAAATTGTTGGTAACTATTATAATTAAATAATTCTAAAACTTTGACTAATTAATGAATTGATAACTATTGCTACTGTTTTATTAATATTATTGTTGTTATTTATTTGCGTAAAAGTTTAATTTCATATATCTTTTAGATACCCTTGAAGATGTTGAAAAAAAACCAACGAAACTTCGGGTGAAAAATGAAATAAATTAATTTTTTATTTGCATCCCAGTCACAAGACCGGACTAGCCTAATAATAATTATAATTGTTGTATGTTGATAAAGAAATGTAAACAGTGAGGGTTTAGTCGTTGAATATTTATTTATTAAATCTATGTTTGTACGCTAAATGTTTTATTTATTATATTGTGAATTTTGTATTCTAATTCATATTTATAAAAATTAAATAAAAATTCATTTTTTTTTATATAATTCAATTCTTGTTTTATTTTTACTTCAGACTTCTTTGCAAGTTTTTTCAGATAACTTTGTTGCTGCTTAACTCGGGTGACTTTCTGTGTCGTCCATATGATTGATGGTGTTGGGTACTGTGCTGATAGTCAGACACTGTTTTTGTTAACATTATGTTTGGTAGAAATTTAATATGAAAATTTCTATCTTTACACGTATTTAGGTTACATGATTGATAAAAATGGAATATTGATGTCAAGAGAAAAACTCAAAACAGTTTTAGATGCCTCAGCTACTACAAATAAATCAAAGCCACAATCGTATTTGGTGATGATTAATTAATACCATTCAGTACCTAATTTATCTGTGGAAGTATTATTACTTATTACTTATGATCTAACTAAAAACAATGTAACGTGGATATGGAATGAAAAACATCAAAATATATTAAAAAAATCAAAACAACTTATTGCGTTTTAACACATTATGATCTACTAAGACTGATAAAAATTTTGTGGGATATAAGTCCACACAGTCCGGGAGCCTTCCTTTCAAATGTTATTGACGGTGAAGAACATCCAGTTCAATTTGTTTCTAATACTTTATCACGGGTCGTGTTCTCTTAACTCTTCGAGTTTTCGTAAGTTCTTTAATTGGAAATTAATTAATTTCATTATTTTCGTATGCAAAAATTGTTGATTGATGCCTTCGGCAGAAAAGTTTTATTTTTTCGTTTATAGTTGTTATTCCAAGGCCTGGTGTTTTAAAGAATTGTGTGAATATCTCCATAGACATAGTTTGTCTCGGAGGATAGTATATCGCTGTGATTGTAATGGGACCATGCTCATCGAGTATCTGTATAGACGTGGCTTGAAAATATGGTGTTTTAAATTGCTCTATTCATTTCATTTTTAATAATGATAGTAGTTGCTCCATGTCCTGTTCCATTCCGATGAGGTGTATTGTAAATTGTATATCGTTGGAATCTTAAAAAGTGCTTGTTGCTGAAATGTGGTTCTGAGATGAGTGCTATATCCGCTGTATTATCGTTTAGGAAGCATCTGAGCTCTAAAGAATGTTGGTGTAGACGATTTGCATGTAACTTTTAGTGGATTATTAATCATATCTCAGTGTAACTTTGAGTTAGTGTAGTGAACAGGTTCATAATAGTACTTATTTGTTGCACAAGTTGTTTCATTAAGTCTTTGAGCTCGCTTATGTCTGATTTTTGCGGCTATTGTTGTTGATTCTGTGGTGTTGTTGCTTCTTTTTCATTTAGTTCTGTGTGAGTTTGAATATTTGTATCTTCATTGTGATATACATATGTATAGAATATTTACTGCAGTTTGATTTTGGGAACCTTGAGCTGCAGCTTGCTGCTCCTGATTTCCGCCACACAATTTGGCGACCTTTTATACCAAAGATGCAATACTAGCTTTTGTCTGAAAATATCACTTGTTTCCAGAACTCTGGAAGTTTATTAATGTATTTGTTTGCAAATTCAATGCATTTCAACGCATATTTTGTGTATTTACAAGTGAAATATACGGTTTCTTTCTAGCGACTCTTCCACGATATCCAGCTTTATATAATACTTTCCTAGCAGTCTCCGCACAAATACTTTTTTTAAATGATTGTGTTATATATTTCACAATTTTCGAAGAAGAAATGAAAGGGTTCATCTTTATCACATGGACTATTTTTCGCTCTTCTCGGACTGATAAAACTTTTGGACGCCCAGGACACGGTTAGATGTTAAAATTCCGATTTTTTTGAAGTTGTCCACTACGCGCTGGATTGATAAATGCGTTCTTCCAATAGTTTTATTTATTAAATTTAATAAATTAATAAACGAATATTATAAACGAATAAACAAAAGAAATTTATAATATATTGTGAATTTGTGTTTAACAATATTAATTATTGTTTTTCCTTCGGAATTCCAGTGTAAGTTGAAATTTAAATTGAAAACATTTTTTTTGATTGCGCTTTATATACCTGGCGTGTTTTTTAAAAACTATATTTATTATTTCTGTTTCAGTCTACAGTTCTCTTGCTGTTTCCAGTTTATTTACTGGAATATTTATTTATTATTTTAATAATAATTGTTATTATTTAATTATTTGTTTATATTTTAATTTAAGTTGTTAGTTATTATTTCTCAATTTCTCAAAATCAGGATACTCAAGGAGTTGAAATTAGTAAAAGGTAACATTACTAATTTTACTAAATAAAATAAAATTATTTATGAGAATCCCTTTTTTTTACAGAAAGTAACATTGACGTTATAGCAAAATTCCACACACTCATGAACATGATGGAAAAGAGAAGCGATACAGCAGTTTCTGATAACTGCTTTCCCATCAAGACGTTTGAAGAATTGGGGAATATGGACGCACTTTGTGCAACTAAAAGTGCTCAATATGTAAGTTATATTTCATACAATCAAAAACTAAATATACAAAACTTTTGATTATATTTTAATTGAATTACTTCGTTCGATTTATAAATTTTTTTCTTTTTGAAACCATTTAGGCTAAATTAATAAAATCCATTATTCAACCGGAGGGAATAAAAAAAAACTTACATCGAATCATCGATCGAACGTTAGTTTTGGAGTTAAATTATGATGAAATTGGCACCAAAAAAGCATTTAAGGAATTTAAATTCTTAAATGCTTCAATATTCGGTATAAAAAAATTGATGCATATATATAAATAAATAAATAAAACTAACAACTTATTTTTCTTTACAGAAGCCTTGCAAAAAGATGGCTATACAGAAAAGGAGTATATTTCGGATATACGAATAGCCATAAAGAATGTTAAAGGAATTCATTATAAACAGCAGTGCAACGACCGGAAGAAGCGCAGAGTGGAAGAAACCAGCAAATAATTTTTATTTATTTATTTAATATTTATAATAATAAAAAAAACAAAGAAAAAATACAAAAAAAAATTAAAATCTATAATTATAATATCAATAAATATTGTTTTTGTTAATTTTATTTATTTATATTAAAAAAAAATTAAAAAAAATTTAAAGCAAAAAAAATTATAATTTATAATATTGTAATTTTTATTTATTTATATTAAAGAAAAAATTAAAACAAAAAAAATTAATAATATTTATATTTAAAAAAAAATTTAAACCAAAAAAAATTATAATCTATTGTTTTTGTAATGTTTATTTATTTTTCTAATAAATTAAAACAAAAAAATATATTGTTTTTTTATTTTTTTTATAAAAATTTATTTTAGAATAAAAATATGTAAAATGCAAGAGCATTTAACATCCTTACAACCTACTGACTTCGTAAGCTACAAAAGAAGGTGACCACCTTCTTTGGAAGCAGGTCGTAAGGCAGAAAATGATCACCTCATATTTTGCGTGCACAAGCATCGCCCATGACGATTTAGTTTACTTTGTCATGCTTACAACATGCTTCCATCGTAAAGTGCATTTGGATTCGTAAACGAAATTTTACGAATGTCAATTCCGTATTTCGTGCCGCATACCTTTTGCACTTTACCAAGTCATGCATGATTTCGGCGGCCAACTGCTAATAAAAGTCATGGGAATTTGGAAAGGAACTCGTCATGATGACCGGCGAAAAGTAAGCATGATGTAAGGGAAGATAGCAGCATGACGGTCCCTACTGGGCATCTTCGTTTTCACGAAGCTAAGCAGAGCAAATCTGTTTGTAGATGAGTTGTTGCTGAGTCAGTAACTTAAGGCATTTTGTTGCTTTTCTTTTGTTTTTTGTCGTGTGCTTAAAATGTGTTTTTCTTTATTGAAGCTTTCCTGTGGGTGTTGAGTATTGGACACTGTAAACTGCATTCTGGTTGTTTGTGGCATTTTGATGTGTGTTGCTTGTTGCAGCTAAAGAAGATATTGTAGTTACAATTGTTTGAGAAGAGTTAATAGGAAAGTGTTTGCGGTTAACCTGCAACTGTTGAGGTAACAGCTTACTTGTTTTGTTCAATATCGGATTCTGTTTTAGAGTAGCAGTTACTTGTAATTAGTTATTTGCTTTTTGTCGTGTTATGACTTTTTTGGCTTTTGGGTTTTGTCGCGTTTGTAATGTTAGTTTTTTTGTATACGTATTTTCTTTGGTATCGGCGTTTTGCTGCACGCAAGTGTTATTTGATGTGGGAGTTTATTGGGACATCTATAACCAATTTAAATGACCCAATCGAGACATAAATAAATAAATAAAGATGCGTCAGATCAGGAGCCGTATCAGTTCATGCACCGAAAATGCGTTTGCAAATATATATTTTTAATTATTTATATATTCGTCATGATGAAAATATATTATATGAAAAGTTATACTTCATTTACATAGTGAGATTAAGAGAACGAGATTAATTTAATCTGCATTTTTAATCTCCACCGTTTACATTATACATTAGAGATTAATTTTGATGTTTCTCTTGTTGTGTTTTGTTTCGTGTGTTTGATGAAAGTTTCAGAAGTGGAAATAGTGTTTCGAGTAATAATTTTTCGAAAGAGGAAATTATTGCTTTCATTAAAAGCTCAAATTTAGGTTTGGCAGAGAAAAAAAATTGTTGCATAACTTAAAAAATAAAACGCCGTTTATTCTAAGAACGTAAAAAAATCTACGACATCAAGACTTGGGTATAGGATAGAGCACAGAGAAATAATCACCATTTCGAAGGAGATTTAAAATTAATCTTGACCAAAAGGAGATAAACTTTTGTATGGAAAATCTGAGATTAAACAACGAGGTTAGTACTTTAATTTCGATTTTTGCTTCCACCTACACAATGTAAACGCTGTATTAAACAGATTTAAGATATGTCTGGTTATGTTTAAGTGATGTAGTTACTCTATAGAGCACAGTTTTTACAGAATAAAACAAAATTTCGGAAAATAGTCAAAAGTTTGTTGATGTTATGATTTTATTTAATATTATTATTTAGCATAAGGGTGATCATTAACTGCGCAATTTTACAAAAACACAGTTTAGTTGTTCTGTCGTTTTGCAACACTTAATCCAAATTTATTTTGAGGTTTTGAGCTTAATTTGCTGTCTTTATCAGGTGTTTTCAAATATATTTGTTTAAGAGGCAAACAAACAAGTTCAAAAACAAAACCAAAATTTACTTATTTACAAAAAACAAATGAATACAATATTTTTTTTTATTTATTTAATAGTGGGAAACTATTATTTTTATAAACTTTATAAACATATTTTTGGAAGCCGGGTATAGATGCTGCAATTGAGGTGGTCGTCGGGACATGTGAAGCATATTGTATGAACCAAAAACCTGCAAAACAAATTTTTATCAACTGGGAAGTAACTAGTGCTCCGTCTAGTGCTCACAGAAGCGTTAAGATCTACTTTTGCAATTTTTTAACTTCCAAAATTCATCACTCAGTTCAAAGGCATTTATACAATTTTGCAACAACACTAATATTCAATATTTTAAAATCATCATCATGTCATCTACAATCAAATGAAAATACGGAGAGGGGAGTATAGGCTGTAAAAAGCACATTATGAATGTATCTGATGGATCATAAAATTAAACGTAAGTGTTGGGACTTCAAAATAAATAATTTTCTGCTGGATATCACTAACAAATATAATTTAGAAGTTTATACCAAAAACTCTGTTAGATAATATAAATCCAAAATTCAGAAATATTTTTGAAAAAAAGAAAATACACATAAATGGAAAGAAGATAAAACATTGAACAAGTTAGAAAATTAAAAGCTGAACTTCAGTAAACCAATAAACTTTAAAATCAATGAAACGATATTATAGAAAAATATTGTAAATAACTATATTAAATGGATTCATGCATAAGCGGTTAAGAAACTAAGTCGAATTAGAACCAAATAATGCTCATATCAACCAAATAAAAGAGTATAAAAAAAATCAGTTACTTTTAATCCTAGAATTCAAAGTATGCACTGGGGTTAAAATATTCGTAATTATTTAATTATATATATTTAATTAATGGAATATAGAAAAAAAAAGAATTATTGGAGTTATTTAAAAAAAAATTTTTTAATTAAATTTTAAATTAAATTAATTAAATTAAAGCTAATGTAATAAAAATTACAAATAAATTAAATATTGAAAGAATATCTGAATTGAAAGAATATATTGAAAGAATATTTTAAAAATTTGTGTTTCGTTTTGACTAAGACAACACTGGTTGCCATTCTTATTAAAAATTACTTTTTCCTTTTTTCATACATTTTTTTTGCTTTGTTATTTAACATATGTGACTTTTGACATTTAAATAATATTTTTCTTTTTTATATATAATTGCATTTGTATAATTTGTAATAACACTGAAGATGATCTACGAAGTAGACCGAAATATTTGTTAATTACATAAATTAATCACTGTGATATTTTTATTTAATTTAAGGCTTGTTTTTTATATAATACAAATTGTATAAAAATATAAATTTAAAACCACGACCTAAAGCCCGGCAAAATTTAAAACATAAACATTGATGTCGACGCTAATACAAACATTAAAACTTTATTGTTATTTCTTCTTCTTCTTCTAAGTGCCTTGTACGCTTCGAACGTTGGCTAACATGATTGCTATTTTGATTTTATCTACATCTTCTCGAAAAAATGATCTTGTACTTTTATTAAACCATTGACGTAAATTCTTCAGCCATGATATCTTTCGTCTCCCATGGCCACGTCTACCTTCAATTCTGCCTTCAATGATTAATTTTAGTATTCCGTAATTTTCGGGATGCCTCAGAATATGACCAAAAAACTTCAACTTTCGGCGTTTTACTGTCTCTAATATTTCTGTCTCTTTGTTGACACGCCGAAGTACCACTGTATTTGTAATTTTTCTGTCCAGCTTATTTTGAGCATAGGTCGGTAGCATCACATTTCAAAAGCCTTGAGTTTGTTCATCGATGCAACAGACAGCGTCCAGGCCTCTGTCCCGTAGAGGAGTATAGAGAATATATAGCAGCGCAGCATTCTTATTCTAAGCGGTAATGACAGCTCCCGGGTACACAGCAAGTTTTTCATTCTGATAAAAGACGACCTTGCTTTTTCAATTTGGATACGTATTTCAATACTATTATCCCATTGCTTATTAAGCTGACATCCAAAGTAGTTGTACTTATCGGTTCTTTTTATGGCTGAACCAAATACTGTCAGTCTTCCTCCAGGAATAGGACGTTTGTTTACCACTATATATTGGGTTTTACTGCAATTTAATTTTAGGCTGCATTCTCTGCACTTTAATGCAACAGCATCCAACAGGTTCTATAAGCCCTCTATTGAATCGGCAATAAGCACTGTATCATCTGCGTACCTCAAATTGTTTATAAGTACCCCGTTAACCATAACTCCATCTGTCGCATCTTGTAGTGCTTCTTTGAAAATAGTCTCCGAGTATATATTGAACAGTAATGGCGACAAAATGCACCCTTGGCGAACCCTGCGCTTTATTTCTACTTCCTGCGTCAAGTAACCATCAATGTAAACATTTGCGTACTGCTTCCAGTATAAGTTTGCTATTATTCGGATATCCTTTTCATCTAATCGGCAATACCCTAGAATTTCTATGAGTTTGCCATGTTCCACAGTGTCGAAAGCTTTTTCGAAATCAACAAAACATAAAAAGACATCTTTGTTATAGTCACGGCAACGTTCTATTAGGACTCGTATTCCATACAAGGCTTCTCTAGTACTAAGCCCTTTGCGAAAACCAAACTGAGTATCACTCATTTGTTCCTCGAGTTTTGGATAATTTTTATTATGTATAATTCGGAGGAATATCTTTAACATATGACTCATCAAGCTGACTGTTCTAAAATCTGCACATGTTTTTGGTGTAGTTTTCTTTGGAATAGTAATAAACGTAGATTGAAGCCAATCGTTTGGTATCTGACCTGTATTATAAATTTTATTAAAA